GGAGTGTGACAGACAAGTATGAAGTGCGTTTCATATTTGCAGCATGGGCGGCTGGCACCGTAGAGACGGCCTGGCCTAGATTGCACCTGCGGACACCACAGCGAACGAAGCAGACATAGCTGCAGTCCGGGGCCTGTCTGTCAGGATACGACAGTTAATGGAGAGTGACACAGGTTTTCTGTGCCGCCCGCTTCTCTAACTTACACGCGAGCACACGCACGCCGTACTTTCACCTCTCTGTAGAAGGAAAGAAGAACAGATGGAGGGAGGGAAGGGATGGCAGAGCCTGAAAGAAGTTGGAGGGACAAGTCTCACCCCAGGGATACCGGTGGCCCTTTGTCCCCGGCCCAGGTGAGCCGAGGTGCTGAGATTGTCAGGTCTCCAATGCTAGGATGTGCTTTTGCGAGATGTGCAGTGTCAGATAACTTCTGCATCTCCTGTGAGTCATCTCTCTCCATTTGCCAAAGAGCTAAGAGGAAGTGGGGCGGCACTGCCAGAATGTCATTCTATAAACACCCGGTTCATTCTGACACATGCTGCAGGAGATCTCAAATATGTCAGATATTGTTTTACACACCTCCTCCTCCTCCTCAAGCTGAAGGGGTATAAATTAGAAAAAGTACTTTCGATCCAAAACATGTAAATAGCATTTTTTTTTTTTTTCGGCATCAGAAGACAAAAGACGATAGACATAATGCATTCCTTCCAAATACAAGTTAATAGACATGACCACCTACTCAAATCTAGATCTACAGTTTCTACCAGAACCACTAGAGAGGCATGCAGTCAACTAACAGACACATATAGGTTCAAGAAAAGAAAAAAAAAGCAGAGAGAAATGGCAAAGAATGAGAACAGGACTGGAATAAAAAGGAGAGAACAAAAAATATACTTAAGGTGGGTGGAATAAAGAATGAAGTATTGACAAGTGTTAAAGGATTAGTTTATTCAAAATGACACTTCTTCATCATTTACTCACCCTCATGTTGTTCCAAGACTGTGAATGGGAACTGGAGAGTTTACGCTTTAAAAAAGGATGGAAAAGCACCATAAAAGGATCACAAATTTGGTTTGACTGGACTGTGAATGAATCATTTTGTGAACTGGATCAACCGATTCATTGGAAATATTCAATTCAAATATATGATTCGTCACAAAACCAGGGTTATTATCGTTAACTAAAACTATTAAAACTAAAAACCATTTTTGTTAATTGAAACAAAGCTGAAATAAAAAATAAACAGATGAAAAACATTTAAAGTTTCATTTAAACTTTTTAAATGAAAATTACAAATGCCTTGGAAACTAAAACAAGTTAAAGTTAAAGCAACAAATAAACAAATAAAAACTAAAACTGAAAAAAAAAAATCTAAATATTAATCAAAAATGTAATAGTACATATATAATACTAACATAACACTGCACAGTGTTTTTTTTATTTTTTGCATCACTTTTATGATACGTTTATGGAGCTTTTGGAAGCTTCAGTACCCATACATTGTAACTGCATGGACAGAGTGAATTTCTCCTTTTTGTATTCATCTGAAAGAAGAAAGCCATATATATTTTAAATTATTTTAATTTTAATTTTAAATAACATGAGGATGAGTAAATAGTAGAATCTTTTTTATGAACTATCCCTTCAAGCACTGCAGGTTGCACTATATGATAAACAGATCCGAAAAAGGAAAATGGTATAAAAATAATATTGAAACCCAAGATAAAGGATACATAAATGAGAGAACAGAATAAGATTGAAAGAGAAAGAAGATGGGAAGAGGGAAGTACAGGAGCAGGGACAAACCTTCCGCTGGAGTGTGACCAGAGGACAGTGTGGAGAGAGGAAGTCAACTGGTGCTGTCTCTGACTTACACACACACTGGCTTTCAGCAGGACCAAACCAAACAAGAGAGAAACAACAGAAACATGACCATCGGCCAAGTGTCCTACTATACACCAACAGGGTTGGTTTGTGGGTGTTTTTATGATCATTGATATACAAATGAAAAGTTTTCAAGTGCTAGATTAAATCTGGGGTGCAGATACATGCCATTTCATGAGCTTCCGCCGAACGTTCTGGCTTTAACAAACATGCTGTAATATCTTGACTCTAAGTGAATTTATGTACATTTAACAAATCGCAATCAGTTTAAAACGCTAAACCAATCTGAAAAGTAGCTCGTAATAAATGAACATGTTTCCAGACCATAAAAAAATATCTGCTGATCTGTCCTTGTTAAATGAAGCATAATGATCAATCACTACCAAGTGATGATCTGTTTCATGGGCCAAACTGATACAGAGAGGTCCAGTCGGTAACCAACGAAAACCATTCAAATTACACACACCATTTAGCCTAGCTAAAGTATGTCTCATTCATTTTATTACCTTACTGCCAATAAATAATTTTAAAAAGCTGCTGCTCTGGATGACTCAGGTCTAGTGGAATATCAGGCTTTAAATCAGGGGTTCTCCATCTTTAGGTCACAACCCTTTTTTGTTTCACAATTCTTGAGACCACATTTCACCCACATAACAGAAGTTACACACTTAAGGATTCCAAATGCATCATATTTTGTTCTCAACAGTAAATATATTACTATTTAATTTTACATAATAATACTTTATTCTGTGTCTTGTATTAAATTGATCAAAACTGACATTTATAAATATTATAAAAGTTTTCTATTTTAAATAAATGCTGTTCTTTTGAACGTTTTAATACTTCTGGAAAAATCTTTTACCGTTTCCACAAACATATTAAGCAGCACAACTGTTTTCAACATTGATAATAGTAAGAAATGTTTCTTGGGCAGCAAATCAGCATATTATAATGATTTTTTCAAGATCATGTGACACTGAAGACTGGAAAAATAATGCTGTTTAAAATTCAGCATTTCATCACCGGTTTAAATTACATTTTTTAATATATTCAATTAATTATATTATATTATATCATATTTCTTTGACCTTACCTGCATCTCTGGTGAGCCACATGCTGTAGAATTGTGACCCCTAGGCTTAGAACCTCTGTTTTAAAAACTTAAATTATTGCATCAAGCAGGGTGGAGGAACTGCAACAGCCCTCGGGTGACTGACGGAGATTATGCAGTGATGAAGATGATCTGCAAAAGCCGTCTGCGGCGTCACCATTTCACCAGAGTACTCCGCAGAATGGAGTGCGACAGCTCGTCTGTCAGAGCGGAGCCTCTGACTTTCACCGTACCCTTGCCGGCAGGTTTGCGCAGGAGTTAACTGACTGATATTCGGCACGCAAACACATCTCATCCTCCGCCTAGCAGCAAATGTATGCACAGCAGGGGTGTATAAATTGTGCTGCGCAATGGAGATCAGTTGGGTAATAGATGATGAGGTTCTCGGAAAAGGTCATCCTTAAATGTCAGTGCTCTGTCTCAATGGCTTTCTCACTTCTGTCACAACGCAACCATGGAGCAACTCCATCAGTCACAAAAGAGTGCAACTGCACCATCAGCTTAAGACGCTAGCCATGGGGGGTGGGAGGGTGCTAAAATAACTACGCTGGCCTAATAAACTTGGTCCAGTGGGCCAAGACCTTACCTAATCACATTCCTCTCCAAAACACACAGTATAACCCAAGCTTTCAATGTTCAAATGAAAATCAAGCTCACTGGATCTGAATTTCACAATGCCAGCCTCGAGTATGACTTCTTCGAGCTGACAACTATGACCACGAGCTGTTTAAAAGTCTGGAGACACCATCGCCTGAGAGTCATTTCTCATGTAGCTCTCGTTTTAAACTCAGAGCCTGCTCCAAACAAGTCTGGCGTAATTCACACGCATTAAACAGCAACGAGATGCAGAGAGCTGTTTTTTTTTTCAGGCTAAGTTGGTTTTTTAGCCAAGTGCTAATCAGAATCAAACACGTCTGATTGGGTGGAGAGGCATGACTGATTGGCTCACGCTCTGTCGACTGCGTTCCTTCAAACCGTGCGCCGAGCCACTTTTACGCCTGTCTGCCAATTACACATGGGTGGATAGCTGTCTGCCGGAGAGCAGGTGTCAATGGAGCGAACTCGAGTCAAAATATGCAGTAAACGCATGCGCGTGAGCAAAAAGTGTATGTTTGCTTTTTTACGTGCTTGGACAACATATCAGTGTGGATGTGTGTAAATAAACTCTGCACCCGCTACGGCATCGCTTTCTCCAATTAGCCAAGGCCATCATTTCCCATTGTGCTAAAGGCCAGACGTCAGCGAGAAGGCCGAGGGCTGTTCCTCCCTGCTGTTTATTTATTTAAGTATCCTTGTGTCTTACAGACAAAGTCAGATTGATAGATTAAGCTATCCAGCCTCTGGATCAATAACCATGCCGGAACGAGGGAGCGACTGGGAACTTTTAATGTGCACACTCTCTGTTTTCTAGTCAAAGGCGAACCAAGTTTGTCCGAATGACAGAAGGCAGCATTAACGGCCGAGAGCGCCGGCATTTAAATGTGAAAACTTACAAACCAAGAGAAATGAAAAGGCTCATTCGTGTAAGTCCATGTGTAATGTGTTTTGTTTGTGTGTGTGTGTGTGTGTGTGTGTGTGGGGAAGGTGGTTAGCGAAACAAATACAGCAGCTACAGTAAAGTACAAATGGCTGTGCGAGCAGAAGCTGGCCCCTGCGCCCTGATCTGTTACCAGTTCCACCGACAATAATCCTGACATTAACTAAATTAAGAAAACAGGGGGGAAAAGCTGGTCTCGGACCATCGGCTAGTGGGGCGACTTCTGCCAGCGCCATAAATCACATTTACAACAGGAAAGGAGGGGAAGCAGGCAGGAGCCTTGAGTCCTGTCCTTTCCTTCTAACTACAGACTGTGTGTATGTGTGAGTGTGTGAGAGAGGACAGAGGCGGCTAGAGTTAAGAGCAGCATGGAGAGAGCAGCAGTCACACAGATCTACGGCCAGAGCGTTTACCTGGCCCTGTGCTCTGAGGGTATGCTGCGTAGCCGCCTCTTCCACGGGCCCCCCTACCTGAGCCGCGCGCTGCCGCCACTGCTGCCGCCGCTGCTACTGGACTGTACGCTGTTGCCGGGAAGCCTGTGTGGGGGGGGTGGGGGGTGGGGGATTGAGGAAAGTGGAGGAGGAGACGAGTGGAGAGGGAATGAGAGGATAAACAGGATGGAAAATGAGAGGACAGGAACAGGGCAGAAAAAGGGAGTAGTGAAGGAATAAGAGGAGAAGAGAGTAAAACAAAGAGGGAAAAGGGTGTAAAACGAGGAATAGTGAAAATAAGAGAAGAACAGGTGTGGAAACAGGGTGAAATAGGAAGTGGAGTAAATAAAAATCACGAATAGGCATAAGAAAAGAGGAGAGGAAAGGAGAAAAAAATAGGGAACAGGGCAAAAAGTGAGGAAATAGAGGTTAGAGAGAAAAAAAAAGGATGGAAAAAAGGAGAGGTTAGAACAAAAATAGGGAACAAGGTGGAAGAAGGAAGCAGAGAAGTAATAAGAGAAGAGAGGAAAAAAGGTGGAAAATGGACATTAGCAAAAGGATGTAAGGAGAGGATAGAACAGAGGAAAATAGAATGGAGAACAGGGCAAAAATTTGAAAGTGTGAAGATATGAGAGGAGAAGATAGTAAAAAAGAGGAAATAGAGCGGAAAACAAAAAAAGGTAGGCACAGACACAAGCGGACAGAAGAAGAGGAAAGAGAAAGAACAGGGTGGAAATGGGGAGTAATGAAGGGAGGAGAGGAGAGGGTAAAAAAGGAGAGGAAAAAATGAGAAGAGAGGATAAATTAGAAAAAAGCAGGATCAAGCTACCTCACAACATTACTGACTCAAAGTTGCTGCAGTGTCTGTGCAGGTTCTGCAGGCTGCTGTAATGCACTGTGTACTGTGGGCGTCTTCAGAGTGCGGAGGAGACTGCAGTGGCCCTAATGCACTCTGGGTATTTCTGCATGGGTGACCACGCTGCTCTTTAGCTTATCTGTTTGGAGCACACAGCGGGAGGGCCATGGCCGAGCATCAGACTTTCGGAAATGCTACTGAGCTTGTGCGGTCAAGCTACTGTGATAAACTAATTAGATTTCGGCTATCATGTGAAATGTAAAGGGACTAGAATGCTTTAATGGTGGAAATATAACACTGCAGTACACAGTTATTCAATGGCCTAACATTTGTTAAATAGAATAAAAACCTTTAGATTAAAAAAATTATAATAATAAAAATAAATCCCTTTATTTGTTGGTATGAATTCGATAGGGATTGTAAGTTATATATGACACATTATATCAATGTCCTGTTGATATGTCTTGTCATCAGTGCCATTTGAAAAGTCTAGTCAGTAAACTTTACTTGATACCTGTCTATGCAAAGGTATTCTTTAATGCATTCATATATAATACAGTACACCCTATAAAGAAAAAAGAAAATAATTATCATGATTATTTATTTAAAATGTATTATATACTACTGTTCAAAAGTTTGGGGTCAGATAAGATTTATTTTATTTTTTGGAAAGAAATTAATACTTTTATTTACCAAAGATGCATTCAATATTAAAATAATTTCTGAAGGATCATTTGACATTGAAGACTGGAGTAATGGCTGCTGAAAATTCAGCCTTGCCATAGCAGGAATAAATTACATTAAAAAAAAAATCAAATAGAAAACTTTTTTTTCTTAAAATAATATTTTACAATATAAGTGTTTTTATTTTTTATTTAGTTATTAATGTAGCCTCGGTGAAAAATAAAATAATTTCCCAAACATTAAAAAAGGTTTGAACCATAATTTAACTACGGCTATAATTACAGTACAAAAAATATACATTTTAGAAATATATGTGATATTTCGATGAAAATTAAAAGTATTTCAAGGCAAAAAAAAAGAAAAAAAAAAAATGTGTGTGCATGTTTTTATTGCCATATAACCTACACTGTACATTTGCCTGTGTATTTTCACTCAAATTTGTCATTTTAGTTTTATTTTGTCTTGAGCATTACAACACACCAAACACTTATTCATCAAGCAAATGAGAATTTTCTACTCATGCAGCTCCATCTTCCATAACACCTCACAAATCACAAATTCACGGTATAACAAGAGCTGAAAAGAGACACGAGACCAGGGGGCGAGTCAGAAACCGCAGCTCGAATTCCATAAAGGCAGAGAGAAATCCGGCAAGAGCCAGAAAGATGATCCAGCGCAACACTATAGGGTTAACTCCAACCATGACCGGCATCGGCAGCACAAAGGCGATATGGAAATGGCTCCATGCTCCCGACACTTTGTAGTCCACTTAAGTCACTTATCTCTGCGCTGCCGCTCATGTTTGGGCGGGAGAACGAGGGAGCGAGACAGAGACGGAGAGTCGTAAAGCCGAGCAGGCGAATCGTCCTCCAGTTTATGCCTTGAAACTCAATCAATCAGGAGGATAATTTGGTCTCCAGGCAGTGTGAACTGATGCTACAGCCACATCGGCTCTGGGTGCTGCATGGAGGCCGTGATTTGTGAGCAGGGCTGGATGAAAGTGTCTTTATCTCCTTCCTGGTTTAGTGGCTCTTTATGGTGTTATTACGAGATTAGACATCAGGGATTAATTGCTCGCTTCCAAGTGCCCTTTAATTCACTTTAAGCGTGCATACAGAGGGGAAGGGAACAGGTATGGCACAGCAGTGACGGAGGGGACGCGATGCACGTGTGCGAAAGAGAGTAAACCGACTGTAGTTGAATACATTGACTGCAGAGTCCAAGATTCATGTTTACAAGACATTGGCTTAATGGTTTTATGCATGACTACCTTCCACTAATAACAATAGCTCTGTTCCAAAACCTAGTGATCTGCCTCATTGCCTAAATAGCGAGCTGCCTTCTGAGGCTGCGTTCTAATCATCATGGTAACTCATAACTGACTGATTTGGAATGCTCTACATAGGCAGAAACTCAATTAGCAACACCAAAAGCAATTCACAGGTGATTCCAATAGAGTTTGATGTTAGCATGTGGCAAAGCTAATGGCGCAAATAGTAAATCATTGATGGAAGACAGGAATAACGATAAAATAATCAAACTGAAAGAATATTGATTAAAACAAGTTATTTCACAGAATTTGGGAAAAAGCAAAGCATCTTAGGAGGCGGCAGCATTTTAAAAAGATAGAAAATTAATATTCTATCCTCACATAGTTGAAAAGCAGTATCTTTATTCTGTGAAACACAAAACAAGATATTTTGAAGAATATTTCAATTGTTTTGCCCATACAATGAAAAATAGCTGTAAACATTGTCAAGTCAGCCCACTGACTTCACTCTATGGAGGGAAAACACACACACACACACAAAAACAAAAAATTTAAAACTATCTTCTTATATATAAAACTTGACATAATTTTCTTTTTTGGGTGAACTACTACTTTAAGGCTTATGATGCCCAAGTAGGCAGCTCACTAGGTTTTAGAACAAAGCAAATGAGTGCTGTGGCACTATTGTACACCACAAGAACTTGTGTCTTCTGTATTTGTGTGTTTGAAAAAGAGAGCTAGAACGAGAGAGCACACAAGTGTGTGTGTGGTGGCGTGCCCACGTGTGTATGTCAAAGAGACAGAGAACCACTCAGCTTGCTCAAATCTGCAGTGTTCAAACATCATAATTAAATATTATCATTTTAGTGAACAATGAAGGACATCCACTCAAACGCTTCGTCAAAGTCATTATTATAATATAAATATAATTATAGAGACGCTCTCTAATTAAAACACACATCTTTGGCTGCAGCGGTCCGTTCATGATTGAAAGCCAATAGACAATAAGTGGGTGACACTGGCAGATGGTTGGGTTCACATAGAAGGATGGATGGTAATTAGCCCTGTCTCTTACGGGTTCCCTCCTATTCTTCAGCACAGACGCCCTCCAAACCCTCACATTAGTGGCCTTAATAACCTTTCATGTGCTGCTAATGCCTAATCAAAAAGGAGTCTTTAGGACAAGATTAGCTGTAGCATTGAACAATGGGAATGAGCGCTTAACATCCAGATAAATGAAAGTACAGCCTATATAGCAGCAAGTGTTAAATATTTCAGCAAACAATGCATTTTATAGCGCCTGTCGATTGACGATTCTTATTTGAAATGAAACAGTTGCTTCCAGTTAAGAGCGTCCTTTGACAATGTGTTTTCGCAGCATTTCTGAAAGAACATGCAGAAACCCTGGATATGCTGCATGTATAAGACAACCTGACAATCACGATGCAAAGACAGATGCATATGTGTGAAAATATGTGGAGCTTTACATCACTTATAAACAGTGTTGAGAGTAACATTGTACAATTAATGCACATCTTGTAATGAGACTTTTTGGAAAATACACAACAGTTCAAATGTTTCGGGTTTGCAAGGGTTTTTTATGTATTTAAAGGAAGTCTCTTCTGCTATTTGACCAGAAAAAAGGTAATTTGAAATATTTTATGATTCTTTGATAAAAAGAAAGTTCAGAACAACAGCATTTATGAAGATCAGTTATCCACAGTCAAAACAAATGTTTCACAAAAAAAACTTTACTTCATATGAAAAGTTACTAATTAAACGCAAATAAAAATAAACAAATAAATAAATAAAATGGCACATTTAATTTCTACATAGGCAGCAATTCCATGAAGCACACAAGCAGCTCTGTGCATGAGAGACTCTTATGTTAGCATGTTGCTAAGTTAACACAATCCTCTAATAAGCACACACAATCACAGCGCAAACCAAGCAAATTCATCAGTATTATTGTAATCAAAATAAACTATTTCTGATCAATGCTTTTCAGGCTAATAATGATTAATGAATTACTTTTTAGAGTGAAATGTGACTTAAAAGAATAGTTCACCCCAAAATAACTTATTCTTCCTCAAGTTGTTTGGACCCCGCTGGCATTCAAATTATATCTTCTTTCTACGTACCACAGAAAAAAGTATGTCACACAGGTTTGGGATGACAGGAGGGCGAGTAAATTATGTCAGAATTGTTTAAATTTTAGTTGAACTATCCTCTTAGTTAATTCCACAACATCAAACTGAGAGTCTTTTGGTCTCATCTGAGAGGCTGCATTTCACT